GGGGGAGCAGATCCCCTGGACGGATAACAGCATGGCAGCCATGAATCGAGGCGCGCTGAATAAACCCGAAGAGTAAGTACCGCGGGGCTGGCGGCTTCCCGACCTCTCCCAGGAGAACGTCAGGATGTCCTGGCAATAGCTGCCTGGGTCAAAGAGACGTGTCCTTGCTTTGCCACCTGCCCGGAAACGCGGCAAGTGCAGGCTGGGGTAGCTGCTGGTACCATAACACGCCAGGACCTGGGTTGTGTAGGGCGCTACGACGCGAGAGATGACGTCTGTCATCTATCTGGGGACAAGAGTGTGAGTAGACAAGGAAGGTGGGTTGGGGGAAGAGATCCAGGCTATGTCTGGACCTGAATGATCCCGTATATCCATGGCAGAGCCAAGGATGCTGCAAGTCCCCACCATCCCTCGCCAGGGCTGCAGCCAATGTTTGGGTTGGTGCTCTCCAGCATCTCTCCTCGCCAAGGGCAGTGGTGGGATCTGGGGACCCCGGGACAGTTTTGCGTTTTCACGTGACTGCAGCTCTTTGCAGTCTCCGTGCGCTTGGCTTCAGCTGAAATTATTACAGCTCTAACCCAGGGTCAAATAACCCCCTCCGTCTTCTAACCACCTTTTTTTGGGTCCGTGCCCCATGGAGCAGCCAAGGGGTCATCACCTGCCCAACGTACGACGTCATGCCTGGGTTATAAACGGGTTGGAGGAGACCGTAGGGCAGGTATTTTGGGACGGGAGGTCAGAAGGGTCCGCAGGTGAGCCCAGCTGATGGAGCTCGGCGGTCAGTGCCCTGCCAAGCAAGGGGCACCCCAACGTCCTCGCCGAGGCAGCGGCGCTGGCAGCAGTGCTCACGGAGATGGATTTGATGTGGACGGGAGGTGAATCCTCCCCCTGGCCCGGGGAGGGCTTCGGTACCTGGTTTTAGAGCCAGCACTGATGAGCTCTGCGTGGATCCTCCTGCCAAAGCCCAGCCCTGCTTTGCAGAGAGGCAGAAATTCCTCTACTAATTAAAGCCTTTAGCAGATGAGCACAGTCTCCGTTTTCCAGTCATGAAGACGACACATGTAAGAGTTGTATTTGAGCAAGACAGTAGCCAAACATCTTTTTCTCGGGGCTAAATTTGGATTAATTTCTAAAAGCTCTTTGCTCAGCCCAAGAAGAGAGTTGCCTGAGTGGTCTCCACTGCTGCAACTAGATCTTCTGCTGGAAAGCCGTAGCCTCTTGGTGCTCGAAAGAGCTGGGAGACAAAGCAAATCCCTGTTTAACTGAGCAATTACATCAGCCCGAGCCCTTGCCGCAAGGAAGTAACTTTCCTTTTAAGCCTTGCTGGTCCCATTATTTTGTTGGGACGAGATCCGCGGGGCACGCCTGGGAGAGGGCAGAACTGCTAGAGAAATCGATCTCTGGTTTAAGCTATGAATGTTCCTTAAAATGCTGCTTCTGGGGTAAAAATGACCTTACCTTACTCAGCAGCCTTGTGCTCCAAGCACTGAGTCAGCCTGGCTGGCTGTAGACAGTTTTTGTCTCCCCGGCCAGCGCAGCTGGGAGGGAGGGAACTGGATTTTCTTCTGGCTCACCCTTTGCAGCAGGATTACTGAGCGAGGACCCAGGTTGGCGTGGAAGGCTTGGGACCTGCGCGGGTATCGAGGAGGGAAGGGTTTGGCAGCAGCATCCCGTGAGTCCCTCAGGTGGGAAAAACACCTCGGGTGGTTTTCAGGGCAGAGCCCTGCGCCGGGAGACAAGGTCGGATCAGCGGGCAGAGGCAACGCTGGAGGAAGCTGGTTCCCAGCACAGTTCCCTCTGGTTACTGAGGTCTGATGGAGCTCCAGGGGTGAGACCTGCCTTGGCAGCATCTTGGTGGGGTCCAGCCACTTCCATCTACCACCGCAGTGACCAGCTACAAACCCCTGCTTCCGCTGCAGCCGAGAGAAGATATTCTGCTGGGGAAATGCCTCCAGGTTTTGGTCCTCGAGACCTGCGGATGTTCTCCAGCTGGGGAGGACACGCTCATCCTGGGAGACGCCCACGGTCCCAGCGGCTGCCTGTCCACCCACCAGAGACCGCAGCCGGAGCAAGCAGACAGAACCTTTGGACTGCAGATATTACGGGACTGAGAAATAATATTTTGGCTAAGATGAAACGAGCAGAGCTTTGGCTTTGGGGCTCCTAAAGGTTTCCCAGCTGGGAGATTCGTGTTAGCTGGAGGGGGGCTGAGGTCCTGCCCTCGTTTAAGGACCTGGTGGTGTCTAGATCTCCCAGCACCGGATGTCCTGAGGAACAGGAGCTTCCTTTTTAAATTCTCCCGTTCCCCAAATCCTCCCATGCCTTTGCCTCTCAATAAAGTGGAACGACTACGACATCCCCTCTCTCGTGTCCCAAGTGCTCTTGTGTCCTCTGCAGAAGAGGGACACCTTGGGCCAGGTCCAAAGCTTCTCGAACCAAGTCCAGGTCGCTGTTCTCGCATATGTTCCTCTAATCCCCCAAGGTCAAAAGTGCCACCCGGGGCCCGATGCGGTTGCCTCAACGCTGGCACCCAGCGCCATGTCAGATGCCTGAGGTTTCTAGGACATCTGTGCAGGGTTGGAGACCTGCACCCTTTCAGAGCAGCGCTTGGAGGCCATCCCAGGGAGATGTTTTACGGGACCTCAAGCAGCGTTTGACGCCATCTCTGCAAGTAGCTGAACTTCCCCTCCTCACCTCATGCAGAATCGGAGTTTTCGCCTTAAAAAAAGCCTGAAGGGTTGCGGCGGATAGAAAACCTCTGGAGAGAAAACTGGGGACATGATGCATGGGATCCAGGATCTCCTTCGCCCCGTTACCTGCCCAGAGACTCGTCTGAACCCCGCCATGGCATGGTGCTGGAGGAGGGGCGGAAGGCTCTGCGAGCTGGATTGGGCTGCAAAGCAGGACGCACTGGAGCTTTATTTGCTACATAAAGGTCATATTGTCCCCATGATCTCTTTATAAACCAACTTTTGCCATCCACGCAGAGGTCTGGCACGGGCTGGAGAGACAGTGCCAACCTGAATTTCTCCTCTAGCTGCCTGTTAACGTGGAGAAGAAGCCTGGTCTCCACTTCCTCTGCAAGAACGATGTCTGCGCAGTAAACGCCGTCCTTTGGCCTTGGCACTGAAAACCAGGGTTTGATACAAGCAGCAAGTAGCAGGGACCTCGGCTGTGGAGCGAAACTAGCCCTGCTTTTCACCTCTGTCTCCCCGCTTCCCCCTCTGCAATTTAAGAAATCCCAACGCCGAGTATTTCTTTTCCCTGGATTAGGCTGCATGTGTTGGCTGCAGCGGTTTCGGTCAGATTGGCTTCAGTTCCTTACTGTACATCTGGTCCTCATCTGGAGCTAAAAGGATAAACATGTCTGCTGCTTGGGAACTGCTGGCATGTTCGAGCCCTCGCCTTTGTGCCTCTCTGCGAGCGTGATGTGCCACGGCTCTCTTCATCGTGTCAGACCCGGCAAATCCGATTGACTCCAATTAGTCACGTCATTGGAATGTCTCTCATTACATATTAATCTTATTCCCAAAGAATATTGAGCGAGCTTTGCAGAAATCTTATTTTTGCAGCTCAAAGGTTCCCCTTTGCCTTCAGCTGCTTTGCTTCCAGCTGCTCCGGCTCCATCCAAGCCTCCCCGCTTTCACGCCGGCAGAAGTTTTGTTCTGCTTCCCGCTGTCCTGCCCGTAACGCCTGCGGGAGCAAAGCCTGCAAAAGCACTAACATTTTCTTCCCAAACCCCACCGAAATGCTGTCCGGGCTTCGTTTCGTGGAGAGGTTCATCCTTACAAGCGGGTTTCGGCATGAGGTTTGAGCTTGAGCGGGCTCAGCCCGTGTCGGAGCTGGGGGACGAGGCTGCGTCCCGTGGGGTTTGCGTGGTGCAGCGGAGTGGGAGCGAGTCCCCGTGGCTGCGGGGGCTTTGTGTCGCTCGAGCACCTTCCAGCTCAGCCTCCTCCCTGCTTCATAAACCTTAACGTGCCTCCTCTTGACTTCTTCTCTCTGCAGCCAGTGCATCACCTCGCAGCTGGACGAGCTCCTGTGTCCTCCCACCACGCCGGAGGGTCGGAACGACGAGAAAGCCCTGCTCGAGCAGCTCGTCTCCTTCCTCAGCGGCAAAGACGAGACGGAGCTGGCCGAGCTGGATCGAGCTCTTGGGATCGACAAACTGGTCCAGGTAAAGAGAGAATCACTCGTGGGACTTGTTGGAGGTCACATACGGGGCCAGATGCTGAGGCTTGACGTGAGCGCGGAGGAGGATTTCCAACATCTGGTGGTAACGGGAGGCCAGATGTGAGTGGGAACACACGAGCGCATCAGATTCAGAGACGATACTTAACACCACGCCACTCCCTCCGCCCGCCAAAAAAGCTGGAAAACAGCCCCGTGAAATACAATATCTCGCTTCTCCGCTTTTCAAACGCGATCCCCCATGAGAACCGGCAGCCTGGCAAAGAGGCGGCCGAGCGGTTTCGGCCCCGGGCGGCTCATGTAACGGGGAGAGCTGGCAGGCTGTCCCGCTTCCCCACCTTACCGGGGGGATTAGGGCACGGGGGGGCCTTCCAGGTGGCCCTGGGGGATTAGGGCACGGGGGAGCCTTCCAGCTGGAATCCCACAGCCTGGGATTCCTGAGCCCGGGTTGCGCTGCCTAATAATATATCTAATGGCCTCGCTGGTATGAAACCGTGCAGCCCTTACTATCGAGATTGGCTTACAGTGCAGCTGCCCTTCTGTCTCGGGGTGAACCGCAGGGATAAAAAAAAAAAAAAAAAAAA